CCCCAAAACCCCAAAACCCCAAAACCCCAAAACCCCTATTTAGGTGAAACGACTGAAATAGGTATAAATTGGTATTAAAAATAACATGGAGTGCAATAAACAAATAGACCTCATAAGCTCAGAAGAGAAGTTTAATGGTAAGTCAACCCACCCAGCTCTTCACAGTTTTAGCCCTTTGAGACCGTACCTGTTTTTATTTATTAGAAATTTGGCTTAATTTTTATGTAGAAACCACTCCACACCAAATTGGTAAAGACAGTCAAGATCCGAGTTTTGAGGAAGTCCTGGACCTAATCAGCCAAATGACTACGCATCAGAGTCCTAATGAGGAGGAAATCTACCTTAAAATTGAGGAACCAATCGCTCTGGACTCCAAACAGGAAGCATCACTTCAAAGTTCACCAGAAGATTTTATAATTAAAGACAAATTCTTATTAACAGATCTAAACTCAAATTCTGCGAACTCTGAGTCAACTGAAGGAAGTGAAGGGAGCCCCAAAAAGTTGCCTTCTAGGGCTCCTCAGAAGACATTGCTATCCCACGCAGCCATGAAGAAACTCTCCCACAGATTATCGCTGATGCTCCAAAACAGTGATTTAGAGAAAATTGATGAAGAAGTAATCAACTCACTCAAATCCTTGAAACAAAATGAGGTGTACTCAACCACAATCTACTTCTCAAGACATGGCCAGAGCATTTACAACACAAAGGAACTTATTGGAGGGGACTCTTTACTCTCTGCAAAAGGAAAGAAATATGCAGAAGGCTTAAGAAAATTTTTCCAAGAATCACAAGAAAAATTCGATGATTTGCAGAAGTACTGCTCCACTCTGAAAAGAACTCAACAGACCATTGGGTACCTCAGTGAGGTTGGCGCCGGAGAGCCAATAATCAGACCTGAAATAGACGAGATCAACGCTGGCATCTGCGACTCCATGACTTATGAGCAAATAGAGGAGAAGTTCCCAGAAGAATTCAAACTCAGGAAGAAAGACAAGCTGAATTACAGATATCCCGAAGGCGAGAGCTACATTGATCTCAAGGCTAGGTTAAAGCCCTTCCTTGAGGAAATCGAGGAATCACAGACTCCAGTATTGGTGATCAGCCACCAAGCCACCCTGAGATGCGCTTATGACCACATGAAGGGACTCAAGACTGAAGAGATTCCTTATATCCAAGTGCCTCTTCATTCCTTAGTTAAGTTCGAAAGATCCATCTTTGGGTATAGAGAAACCATCTACAAATATGACACAGAAAAGGGCACCTTTGGCAAAGAAGTACACAAGGTGAACTTTCTAGACAGCTTTCTGGAACAAATCGAGGCAATTTCGCCCTCCAAAAGTGCAGGCCTCCATATCAGAATGCCTGACCTGATCCAGACCTAACACATTGCTAAATAATTCCTTGTCATAATTTTGAGTTTCTCAAGTCACTAATTCAAAAGAGGGGTTTTGGGGTTTTGGGGTTTTGGGGTTTTGGGG